GAAGTAAATGCGAGGGTCTTGGCAAGAGGCGTGGAGTTAAAAGATAAAGAATCACACACAGGGTGGGAGTTGTCACAGCTGCTCTTTGCTGATGACACTGTGCTCTTGGGAGATTCTGAAGAGAAGCTGCAGAGATTGGTGGATGAATTTGGTAGGGTGTGCAAAAGAAGAAAATTAAAGGTGAATACAGGAAAGAGTAAGGTTATGAGGATAACAAAAAGATTAGGTGATGAAAGATTGAATATCAGATTGGAGGGAGAGAGTATGGAGGAGGTGAACGTATTCAGATATTTGGGAGTGGACGTGTCAGCGGATGGGTCTATGAAAGATGAGGTGAATCATAGAATTGATGAGGGAAAAAGAGTGAGTGGTGCACTTAGGAGTCTGTGGAGACAGAGAACTTTGTCCTTGGAGGCAAAGAGGGGAATGTATGAGAGTATAGTTTTACCAACACTCTTATATGGGTGTGAAGCATGGGTGATGAATGTTGCAGCGAGGAGAAGGCTGGAGGCAGTGGAGATGTCATGTCTGAGGGCAATGTGTGGTGTGAATATAATGCAGAGAATTCGTAGTTTGGAAGTTAGGAGGAGGTGCGGGATTACCAAAACTGTTGTCCAGAGGGCTGAGGAAGGGTTGTTGAGGTGGTTCGGACATGTAGAGAGAATGGAGCGAAACAGAATAACTTCAAGAGTGTATCAGTCTGTAGTGGAAGGAAGGCGGGGTAGGGGTCGGCCTAGGAAGGGTTGGAGGGAGGGGGTAAAGGAGGTTTTGTGTGCGAGGGGCTTGGACTTCCAGCAGGCATGCATGAGCGTGTTTGATAGGAGTGAATGGAGACAAATGGTTTTTAATACTTGACGTGCTGTTGGAGTGTGAGCAAAGTAACATTTATGAAGGGATTCAGGGAAACCGGCAGGCCGGACTTGAGTCCTGGAGATGGGAAGTACAGTGCCTGCACTCTGAAGGAGGGGTGTTAATGTTGCAGTTTAAAAACTGTAGTGTAAAGCACCCTTCTGGCAAGACAGTGATGGAGTGAATGATGGTGAAAGTTTTTCTTTTTCGGGCCACCCTGCCTTGGTGGGAATCGGCCAGTGTGATAATAAAATAAAATAAAATAATTATAGTTTTACATACAACAAATATAGTGTTCAATTATGTATTAATAAATTTAAATAAACATATAAAATAACATTTTACTTACATTTATTGAAGATTGGTGATGGCATCTGGAAGATAGGGAGGAGGAGAGAGGGAGTTGGGGTTAGTGTTGGGAAGGAGAATCCCCCTCCATGAGGACTTCAGGTATCAAAGCCCTCTCTGGGGTTACTTCCCTTTGCTTGAGAGTCACTGGACCCCTGTCTCACAAAATAACTGTCCACATAGTCCTCTGTTTCTGGTGCCTCTTTAACCCTTTGACTGTCGCGGCCGTATATATACGTCTTACGAGGTACCGTGTTTGATGTATATATACTCATAAATTCTAGCGGCTTCAAATCAAGCAGGAGAAAGTTGGTAGGCCCACATGTGAGAGAATGGGTCTGTGTGGTCAGTGTGCACCATATAAAAAAAATCCTGGAGCACGCAGTGCATAATGAGAAAAAAAAAACTCCGACCGTTTTTTTTTAATTAAAATGCCGACTTTGTGGTCTATTTTCGTATAGTATTTATGGTTGTATTCTCATTTGATAGAATGGAAAACATATTATAGAAATAGAGGTGATTTTGATTTATTTTACTATAAAAAGAACCTGGAAATGGAGCTCAAAGTAGGGGAAATGTTTGATTTTTGCCAATGTTCAAAAGTAAACAAATGATGCCATTGTCCAATAAATGTCCAACTAGCCATTCTAATATGCAATCATGAATGGGTTGATGTTATTTATACAATTATTACAGTATTGCAGTAGTCTGCATAATAGTAAGTCTTCTATTTTTTGTTTGAATAAAAATTAAAAATAGAAAGCAAGAGTAATATCAGAGGGAGACATGACTGATGAGCAAAGAAAATGTTATTTTAGAGCCAGGAATGTCTGCATTGTTCATTCTGGACCTTATTTTGAAATTGTCATATTTTTAAGTTTTCGTGAAATTGGCCAAATTGCAAATTTCTGACCACATTATTAGGTAGTTGAAATCGGTAAATGGGCAGTTTCTTGTACTCAATCGATAGAAAAAATGGAGTTCTAAAGAAATAGCTATGAGTTTGGGCGACTGGAACAATGGAATTAGCCGAAAATAGGGCTCAAAGTGGGCGAAATCGCCGATTTGTCAGTTTTCCATCAAATTTCGTTTTTTTGGTGTCATTACAATCGGGAAAAGTTTCTCTATCATTTCATAAGAAAAAATAATTTTTTTTTTTAAATTTTGCGACACCAGGAGACACCTCAGGATTGGGGGTTGCGACAGTCAAAGGGTTAACCCTTTCAGGGTCCAGAGGCCAAATTTCAAAGGGTGCACTAGTGTCCAAGAATTTAAAAAAAAAAATTTGTTATTTTTTCTTATGAAATGGTAGAGAATCTGTTTCTGAAGATAATAAAACAAAAAGTATGGAATTTGATGGAAAATTGACGAAATTATGCTCTCGTGAATTTTGATGTGTCAGCGATATTTACGAATCAGCGATTTTGCTGACTTTGACTCCGATTTTAGGCCAATTACGTTATTCCAGTCGACCAAATTCTTAGCTATTTCACTAGTATTACTTCTATTTTATCGATTGAGCACAAGAAATTGCCTACTCAACTATTTCAACTACAAAATAAAGTGATCGGAAATTGGTAATTTGGCCAATTTAACACTAAGTTCAAAATATTCCAATTTCAAAATAGGGTCCAGAATAAACAATGCAGACATTCCTGGCACTAAACTAACATTTTCTCTGTTCATTAGTTATGTTTTCAGGCTTTACAAATGAATTCCATTTTGATTTTTATTCACATAATGAATTTTTATTCAAACCAAATAATAGAACATTTACTGTCGTGCAATATTGGAATAATTGTATAAATATCATCATCACATTTGTGAACATGTATATTAGACCCACCAGCTGGTGTGTATTAGACATGTGAGGTCGTTTGTTTACACTTGAACATCGACAAAAATTTATCATTTCCGCTACTTTGAGCTCAGTTTCAAGCCATTTCCAGTACTAAAACCAATCAAATCATCTCTATTTCTGTAATATATCTTACATTCTATCAAATGAGACCAAGAAATCTCAAATACAACTATAAAAAACATACGAAAAAACACTGCAAAGTCACTGTTTTAATCGAAAATCACGGTCTCAGTTTTTTTCTCTCATTGTACACTGTGTGCTGGAGGATTTGTTTTATGTGGTGCACACATACTACATAGATGTATTCTCTCATATCTAGGCCCAAATTTACCACTCACAGCTTATCAGAGTGAGCTGAGCTCATGGCGTAGATCTACGGTTTGGACCCTGAACGTAAAGCTGTAGATCTACGGGACGGACCCTGAAAGGGTTAAGATTTCCCTAAAATGGGAAATGGTTCTGTCACTGAACTTGTACTCGCCTAGTTGAGGTTGCAGGGGTCGAGTCCAAGCTCCTGGCCCCGCCTCTTCACTGGTCGCTACTAGGTCACTCTCCCTGTACCTTGAGCTTTACCATACCTCTGCTTAAAGCTATGTATGGATCCTGCCTCCACTACATTGCTTCCCAAACTATTCCACTTCCTGACTACTCTGTGGCTGAAGAAATACTTCCTGACATCCCTGTGATTCATCTGTGTCTTCAACATCCAACTGTGTCCCCTTGTTGCTGTGTCCCATCTCTGGAACATCCTGTCTTTGTCCACCTTGTCAATTCCTCTCAGTATTTTGTATGTTGTTATCATGTCCCCCCTATCTCTCCTGTCCTCCAGTGTTGTCAGGTTGATTTCCCTTAACCTCTCCTCATAGGACATACCTCTTAGCTCTGGGACTACTCTTGTTGCAAACCTTTGCACTTTCTCTAGTTTCTTTATGTGCTTGGCTAGGTGTGGGTTCCAAACTGGTGCCGCATACTCCAATATGGGCCTAATGTACACGGTGTACAGGGTCCTGGGTGATTCCTTGTTTCAGCTTGTTTCAGTTTGCTCAGGGTGGTACTTCCCCACAAACATTTGGACGTCATTTCACTTGGACATCATTCCATTTCTGTATTATTTCCTTCTTCACATCTATGGTGTTTCTCACTTTCTTTACCACAAGGGTACCACTAGCAAGTTTCATTGTTCCCATTGTAGCTTATTTCACAGTCCCACAAACACTAAACACAATGAAATAATCGTTGGTCCATAATCGTTGGCCCATAATGCCTAGGCATAATAGAGGCTCTCTTTGCATTGCAACCGACTATTGTAAATGCAAAATCTCAATGTACTGTTTGCAAAGACATAAAATAAATAAATAAATAAATAAATAAAATGTTTGAATGAGAGCGCAGGTTAGTGTTCACTCAAGCATCAAGAAAACTAGACGGGCTCATGGCGCCTGCGTGGGGATGCGGACAGAGCGGGCTGGCGGGCAGGTCCGGTACCCGGAGGTTGGAAAATAGGGGCGAGTTCGATAATAGGGACAAAGTTGGTTCGAAAAAAAGAGTTCTATTTTCGAAGAGTTCGATAAGCGATACGTTCAAAATTTGAGGTTCCACTGTAATGTGGAGTGTGTGGCATTGATGTTGCCATTAGTGAGTCCATGTCCTTCATCTTCACACTTTCATACCTTAGTAAGTACTGATGGGAATGTTTTTTTGCTTCTCATTACAACCATAAAAATATGCTCTTTTTTATTATGAGCACTTTTAACTTTGGGGGCCGCGACAGTGAGAGGTTAAAGAGCTGTAGTCATGTCTGGTCTTGGTATGACTGCTCCTTTGCATCCTTCACTTGCAATAGTTTCCTCTCCTTTCCAGTCCTAATGGCCTAAGAGACTTACGGAAAGACTTTACCATTAATCACCTAAAAATTAAAAAAAAAAGTTTTGTTTTCTCACAGGTGCTTTTCCGGTTAATCCAGCCAAGAGAAGTATTTTTCATGGCAGTTGATGGAGTGGCACCCAGGGCCAAGATGAACCAGCAACGTGGTCGCAGGTAATGACTACAATGAAAGCCTCTGTTTTGCTTGTCTTTTTTTTTTTTAGTAACAGCCATTCCTGCTTAACCAAAATACTGTTTATTTTAGAACAGTGGGTCCCAGTCTGGGTTACAGACCCCTGGGATGCTGCTGAGGTATTCCAAGGGATCCACAAAGCTTTGCAGCAAGTACTGCTTCTCCAGCTAGTGCTTGATTACTTCAATGTTTACTGCCAAACCTACAGTCTTGACACAGAGCCATGTGTATCAATTTGTAGTGTTCTGATGGGTTATGAAATCTTTCCTAAATTGTAATAAACAAAACAGCTTAGCTGATATTTTCAGCCATCTAAATGTACTCAGCTCAAATATTCAGGGAAAGGGAGTAAATATGTTCAGAGTTCAGGGCAAAATCGAAGGTATGATCAAGAAATTAGGTTTGTGATCTCATTGCATGAATTAGTTCATCTACAAATCATTTTCACATCACTTAGATTTTTTTATCACATCAGAAGTACCATTGTTAGAAAAAGTAAAATGTGATGTAAGCAAACACCTGCAAAGCCTCCAAGTACAGCTATGTGAGCACTGTCCTCTCCCTGAGTCAAGACTTAATTGGATTAAAATTCTCAGATTGTTGATAATGCCATGTTCCTAGATTGTCATGAAATACAACTTCATAGAACGTTCATGTGACAATACTTCACATTATAGTATCCAGCTACTTCAAGCTACATGTTTGTTTTGAGTACCGAGAATTTTCTGATAAGGCTGATACCTTTTCCCACATGTGCTTTTGAAATTAGATTTCCTGGAGTCAGTTATTGCATAGAAATCAAAATACTGTAATGAGTTGAATGTAAAATTAGATTTAAGGTTGAACCTGTCATCACTTCAACCAGACATCTGATCTTAGTAGACTGCAAAACAGCACCAGCTGTCTCATTAAGTTACTTAGTATAATAAATAAACATATGTACCTGCAGACTGACTAAATAATGTCTTGCACATATATTTTTTAACACCAGCCATCTCCTACTGAGAAAGACCCAAAAGAAGCACTTTCTCTATCACTCGGTCCATCACTGTCTTGCCAGAGGTGTGCAGATACTACAGTTCAGATGCCCCTCCAAACCTTAGATATCCCCTCCCCTCCTTTAGAGTGCAGACACTGTACTTCCCACCTCTAGGACTCAAGTCCAGCTGACAGGTTTGCTTGAATCCCTACACAAAATGTTACCTGGCTCACACTCCAGCTACTCATCAAGTCCCACAAACCATATGCCTCCACTCCTATCTAACATACTCACACATGCTATGTTATAATAGGTGTGCATATTGTGAATGTTTCTCATCTGTACTTTTCCTAATAAATTTAAAATTTTGATAATAGTACGCTGAGGTCAGTGGTTACCTGTGGTCATACCTGTCCTAAGCTCTCTGGGAGTTAGCATGGGGTGTTACCAAGCACCATGGATTGTTGTAGTGTTTTAGAATCTCAGGTTCAGATGTTGAAGAAGGAGGTTCTACTTCTTCAGGTGGAAAATGGGAAGCTGAAGCTTTGCCTAGATGAGTTTGGGAGTGAGTGTGAGAAGGATTTAGGTGGTAAGGAGGAAATGGTTACCAGCAGTGAGAGTGGCAGCCACTTTAAGTGGCAAGTGGTACACAGTTCAGGAAGAAGGAAGATAAGGAGGGTTAACAGAGAAGATGTGAAGGTAGGAAATCGATTCTCTGTTCTCCAGGATGAGTGCACTTCAGTGGTTAGTGAGGTTGAAGGTACCACTGATTCCCTTGTTAATCAAGGTAAAAATATTTTAATTGTAGGAGATTCTCAGGTAAGATATATGGACCATGCTTTTTATAACAGAGATAGAAAGGTCAGACAGAGGGGTGTGCCTTCCAGGAGCTGGTGTTGGTGACATAGTCAGCAGGTTGGATAATATTATGTCAGGTAATGGGAACAAGCCCATTATCTGTCTTTGTGGTAGGGGTAATGACATTGGGAAGGGCAGGAGACAGAGAGCTGCTGGATAAGTACAGGTCAACCATAGAAGTAGTCAGGTCTAAGGGAGGGATCCCAGTCATATGTAGCATCTTGCCTAGAAAGGGAGTGGGCAATGAATGGATGTCTAGGGCAATTGGTATGAATTGCTGGCTAGACAGGTACTGCAAGGAACTTGCAATCCCATTCATTGATAACTGGGACCTATTCTATGGCAAATGTGATATGTATGCAAAGGATGGGGATCATCTCTCTGGGGCTGGAGTGGTTGCATTAGCCAATTTGATTGAGAGGGTAATTGATGACTTGACTAGGATTTTAACTGATTGATTATAGAGGTATGGGTGTTTGTGGGAAACAATCAGGCTGCAGTATTAGGGTTAAAAACAGCAGCTATTACTGGGATACTGCAGGGATATGTATAAAAGACAATATTCAAAATAAAGTTGTTAGTAATGGCAAATCAATTGATCAACAAACAAAGAGAGAGATAGTAGAGGGCAACAAGTGACTAGCTCCTAAGGTTTACTATACAAATAGTAGGAGTTTAAGAAATAAGATAGATGAGCTAAGATTACTCGCAAGTGCAGGTAATATAGATATTATTGCTATAACTGAAACCTGGCTTAACTTGAAGGATAGAGAAATGCCTTCTGAATGCAACATACAGGGTTATAAACTATTCCACACTGATAGGGTCAATAGGAAGGGTGGTGGAGTGGCGATGTATGTCAGAGATAATTTAAGTTGTTGTCTTATACATGATATAAGATTAGAAACATCGAACACAGAATCTGTTTGGCTACATTTTCTCGAGGGTCGTGACAAATTAATTTTGGGTGTGATTTATAGGTCCCCCAAACCTTGACAGGGAGTGCAGTAAGCTGTTATGGGACGAAATTCATAAGGCATCTAGATATGAAAATGCTGTGTTAATGGGAGATTTTAACTTTAGACAAATTGATTGGAACAATATGACAGGAAATCTTGAGTATAGTGACTTTTTTGATATGGTTCAGGATTGCTTTTTAGAACAGGCTGTGACAGAACCAACTATTGGAAACAATCTGCTTGACCTGGTTCTTGCCAACAAAGAGTCACTAATTAATAATCTTGAGGTTAATGATGAGCTTGGGGAAAGTGATCACAAATCACTTAGTTTCAATATATCATGGAATTACCCAGATAACTGCAATGAAATCTCTGTCCCAGATTTTCGCTTGGCCGATTTCATGGGACTGAAAAATTACCTGGGTAGGCTAAATTGGGATGTCCTAACTATGGGTCAGGTAAGTAATCTAGGTTGCCAATATGATGTTTTTCAGAGCATAGTTCTAGCTGCCCAGACAACTTTTGTTCTTAGTAGGGAAATTAGATCTAACAAAAATTATCCCAAATGGGTGAACAATAGACTAAAACATCTCATTGGTCAAAAGAGAGGCATATATATAGGCATATCAAAAAAGGGGATGGGCAGTTAAGAAATCAGTATATTCAATTAAAGAGAGAAATAAAGAAAGGAATAAGAAAAGCAAAAAGGGATTATGAGGCTAAGGTCGCAAGGGATTCAAAGACTAACCCAAAAGGGTTCTTTCAGGTATACAGAAGTAAGATTAACCCTTTCAGGGTTTCGGCCGTACTAGTACGGCTTATGCATCAATGTCCATGACGTACTTGTACGCCTAAATTCTAGCGCCCTCAAATCTAGTGAGAGAAAGCTGGTAGGCCTACATATGAAAGAATGGGTCTATGTGGTCAGTGTGCGCAGTATAAAAATAATCCTGCAGCACACAGTGCGCAATGAGAAAAAAAAAACCTTGACCGTATTTTTGGATTAAAACAGCGAATTTGCACTGTATTTTAGTATGGTATTTATTGTTGTATTCTAGTTTTCCTGGTCTCATTTTATAGAATGGAAGACATATTACAGAAATTGAGATGATTTTGACTGGTTTTACAATGAAAAGTACCTTGAAATTGAGCTCAAAGTAGCAGAAATGTTCGATTTTTACCAAAGTTCAAAAGTAAACAAATCATGCTATGCATCCAATACTCATCAACTGGTGAGTCTAATATTCTTTCACAAGTGCACTGATATTATTTATACCATTTCTACACTAATGCAGTAGTCTGCATAACAGTAAATCTATTTTTTTGTGAGAATAAAAATTCAAAGTGAAAAGCAAAAGAATGTAAGAGGGGTGTGGGGATGTGACTAATGAACAGAGGAAATGTTATTTTAGTGCCAGGAATGTCTCTTGTTCATTCTGGACCCTATTCGGAAATTGGCATCTTTTGAAATTTGTGTGAGATTGGCAAAATTGCTAAATTCTGACCACTGTATTGGATAGTTGAAATCGGTAAATGTGTGGTTTCTTGTACTCATTTGATAGAAAAAATGGAGTTCTAGCAAAATAATTATGATTTTTGTCGACTACTACACTGGAATTGGCCGAAAATAGGGCTCAAAGTATGCAAAATTGCTGATGCATAAACATCGTCGAAACCGCTAACTTCGCGAGAGCATAATTCCGTAAGTTTTCCATCAAATTTCATACTTTTGGTGTCATTATGATTGGGAAAAGATTCTCTATCTTTTCATAAGATTTTTTTTTTTTTTTTTTTTTTTTTTTTTTTTTTTTTTTTTTTTTTTTTTTTTTTGAAATTTGGGGGACCTTGAGAACAAGTCTCGGAGAGGGCGCTGTGGACCCTGAAAGGGTTAAGGACAAGATAGGCCCACTTAAGAATAACTCTGGTGAGATCACTGACAGTGATAAGGATATGTGTGAAATTCTCAATACCTATTTCCTCTCAGTTTTTACCCAGGAAAATTCAAGCGAAATTCCTGAAATAATAGATCATGTAGAACAGGATGATAATGAACTATGCATGATTGCGGTAACTAGTGACATGGCCCTCAGACAAATATAGAAACTTAAACCAAACAAATCCCCAGGCCCTGATGAACTGTTTGCAAGGGTGTTAAAAGGAATGTAAAGAGGAACTTAGCTTACCT